GGTGCTGAATGAAGTTGTCCCTGATGAGCATAGATGATGGTTTAGCCCCAAGTAAAGATGTCACCGTCCTTAAGACTTGGCATTGATATTTCGTTGTGCAAGTGATGCTTCGGCGTCATCACGAGGTTTCCTGTCCCAGTCCTCAGGGTGGTATTCTGGCAGGCTTGCATATTCTTCAGCTGCACGTCGCTTGTCACCGGCGTCCAATTCAGGAACAACGTAATTTACGACCGGCCGGGCGATTGCCTTTTATATTGCGTGCAACGTTACTTGCCTTTCCTCAGCTGCTGCTGGCTAATGGGATGAGGATTTTGTTCGTCACTCATATGCGGAGTGAAGACGAGCATGCTATTGAAAGTAAATCCGAGTAACTTTGGGTTGTTAATTGTCGACATTTGTATTTGGTGATCAAGGTGACCGGGAAATTTCAAACAAAAATCGGTAAATGATTTCATTGAAATGCCTTTTGTAGGGAATTGTGGAATATGGAAACTAAGTAAAAGCTGGAGAGGACAACATCCTGCCGAACCCCTCGTTTAAATCAACTGAGTTTATAAGTTTGACCTCGAAATTTTGCCGTTGGCTGTCGACTCTTTCGGCGATCTGATCACGTTTAAGTTATGAGGTAATACCGATCCGATAATAATTACGAGTTGACTTGATTTAGCCATATCCTTCTGTCCGTTTGTTTGGATGAAAAATAGTCCCTTAATTTCTGAGATACTTCGATCAAACTTGTTACACCGTTGCACTGGTAGATTTTATCAGTTATTTGTCGGAACTTGCCAGATCGGTCTGGTACAATATCTGTCGAAAAAAGCGTCTAAAAGTATGATTCTTTGTATTCATATATTTATTGGTAAATAAATCCATACTGAAAATTATCAAAATCAGAAACTTCATCACATAGTCAGTTTTTTTAGATATGACAATTGATATTTAATATGAAATCAATACCGTAAATTTGATATCGGAATTGCTGATTTATTGTAATTAATTTTGTTTTTGTAAATTTGTTTTACTTTCTTTTAAATTTTATTTTATTTTTTTTTTTAAATTGATTTAAATGCAATTTTCCTTATTTTACATTATTTTATTTAACTCTAATCTATTTAATTTTTTAATTCTATTATAATTGAATTTATTTTATTTTTTCTATTTTACTTTTCATCTACTTTTTATTTTATTTAATAGCTTTTTTAATTTAAATAATTTTTTTATTCTAATGTATCCAATTATTTAGTGTTTTTATTTTTTAATTTATTTTATTTTATTTTATTTTATTTTATTTTATTTTATTTTATTTTATTTTATTTTATTTTATTTTATTTTATTTTATTTTATTTTATTTTATTTAATTTTATTTAATTTATTTTAATTTAATTTAATTTTATTCTATATTATTAAATTTAATTATTTTAATTTTTCTTTTATTTCAAGTAATCTTATTTCTACCTACGCCGTAAAAATTTGATAGAAATTTATTAGCATCAAAATATTGCTAAACTACGAGCACCCGTAAATTGTTAAGGTCTACATATGCGATCCCCTCTTTTTAGTGAGAATAGATATAAAGTAAACATTATTTGTCTAACAAAGTCTCGATTGTTATTGTTCAAAGGTTTCGCGATGTGTTGCTATGGCTATATCGTCATACATACGTTTCTGCGACATATCCTTGCATTTATATGTGTACATTGCACTAGTAGTTATGTGACCCTTAAAATTTTTATTTTATTTTTTTCTTTTCACACAGATTTTCACCCGAAAAATGTTTATTTGCAAATTCAAAAGTGTCATAAATTCTTACACGCCCACACATGCACATGCACACACGCATAAAGCCGTAGAGCAAAGTGGCATTTCCATGCGGAGGCGGCGGCGTGTGTGTTTGCGTTAGGTTACGAAGTTGTAAAATTTATAGTGAAAATTTGATTTGTGTCCTTCTTGTTTGCGACTATTGTTGGCATTGTTGTTGTTTCTGCTGTTGCTTGTATTTTTATGCATTGAATTTTTTGTATTTTTTCTGAGGTATTTTTTGGCAAAATATCCTTTTTTCTTTCATCACATGCCTCAGTATGTGTTTTCAATTTCAGTTGTTTTTGTTTTCAACTATTTATTATTGCATTGTTTCTGCCACGGCACGGGTTCATGCAATATTGTGCATGTCAAAGATTTTAATGTTATTTTCGCAAATAGAATTTGACCGATGTTTTTGTTTTATAGAATTTTATTGTCTGCATTTTCTGCTTTGTGGATTGTGTGGTATTTGTGAATATTATTATTCAACAAATTTTTATAAATATTTCTGACCAAAAATATTTTAAAATTTTTGATTTTCAAATGTCGCTGCCCAAATAAGAAATTGAATTGAAATGAATTAAAATAAAATAAAAAATACAAAAATAAAAAAAATATAATTAAACAAAAAAAAAATTAAATGAAAATATAAAGTAAATAAGAAAATAAAATAAACTTAAATAAAAAAAATTAGTAAAATAAAAAAAAAAACAAGAAATGAAATAAATTTAATATTACGAACTAAAACAAAACTAAATTGAATTAATTTAAAATAAAACAAAGTAAAAAAAATAAATAGAATAAAATATATGTAAGATAAAAAAATATAAATAAATAGAACAAATAATTTTATTATTTATTTTATTGGAGCAGACAACGCCTACGCGCTGTGTTTAGCGCCAATTGGAGACACCAAGTACAGCCAGGTCCTTCTCTACCTGCTCTTTCGAATCGAATGGAAGTCTTCCGCTTCCTCTGCATTCACCAGCGGATACTGCATCGAATACTTTCAAAGCTAAAGTGCTTTCATCCATCCGGACCGCATGACCTAGCCATCGCATCCGCTTTTTCTTGATTCGCTTAACTATGTCCAGGACGACAGCTCATCATTCCATTGGCTGCGGTATTCTACGTTCTCTATCCGAAGAGGATCATAAATCTTACGCAAAATTTTTTTTCGAAAACTCCTAATGCCGCCTTTACAGCGGGTGTCATTGCCCATACCTCCACATCATATAGCAAGACGGGGTACGATGAGCTACTTGTAGACTTGGGTTTTCGTTCGTTGAGAGAGGACTTTACTTTTCAACTGTCTATACAGTCCAAAGTAGCATCTATTGGCAAGAGTATTTCTACGTTGTTTTTTGTTGTTGTTGTTAACACTTAATACTGGTTACAAAATATACGAAGCTCTCTACGATCTCAAAGTTATGCGGAAGCCGAGTGGCGAATGCGATGACCAATTGTTTGAGAGCAAGATATATTTGGTCTTGCCCACGCTTACTACCAGACCCATATCCTCTCACGGCGCAATTGTTGTCCTCTGGGTCATAGAATTTTTAAAATTTACCCTTGTCGACTGGATGCGTATTGCTCACTCATTCCTCTTCAGTTCCCGGTATCTATCTCATTCCGCACGTTATGTGGTCGATCGCCAGGTCTGTTTTCTCTCCACAGTGACATGGCAGTCCTCCTCGTACCATCTGTTTTTGCTACTTTTCCGAAATACTATAGTTTCTCTTGCAGCTGTACGTGGGAGCTTAAAGTGCCGTCCCTCAGTTCCCTCATACCGAGTTGCTGATGACTGCTTTCCGAGTACAGGACTGCAAGTCGAGTAGAAAATCGCTCCGCCGTTCTTGTTATTGTTGTTGCAACCGCAAAAATATTCCCCAGAGTACTTTTTGGGGAATGTTGAGGGAGTGACAATCCTTGGCCGGATAATAATACGGTTCGTTCCAGTATAAAGACCAGACTGCCGCGGGAACTATTGGATTTTAGTCGCCTCTTACGACAACCAAGCCTTTCCGCGGGTGAATTCCTTCGTCGAACTTTCCTTGTGTTTGTTGACGTGTGTTCTGTGATACATAGGGGCGGGTGTGTGTCTTTGCTGAAATAAGATAGTGCTCCAAGTCGATATGGGGTACTCGGAGTGTGCGCACATCAAGTACACTGGAGACATGTCACAATATCGTCGACCTGGTTTTGTGTTTTGCAATTAGCGGAGCGCCAAGTAGCTCGATGTATTTTCTTGTACAGAAAACCAGATTACGGGCCGCGGCGAAGTCACTCTACCACCATAAATCGGACACCAAAAGTGTGCTCCCTTATGTGGCCGCTGTAGTAAATGTCACAAGAACCTAGTAGCTTCCGTCCTGGTCCCGTCCATTGCACTTCTTGGACGGCGGGGATGTTGGCCTTTATTCTTACTATGACATCAAATAGCTGGGCAGCGGCACCTTCCCAATTAAAGGACCGGACGTTACAGGTGCCTGCCCTCAAATCGTGACCCTTAAAATATTTTTAAATTAATTAAAATAAAACAATATATTAGTAGTAAAATAAAATAAAAAATATATAAAAAAAATATAAAAATAAAAAAAAAAAATAAAATAAAAAAAGTAAAATGGGAAATGTAAATTATAATGTTTTAAGAAAATAAATTTAAATATATGTAAATAAAAACATTGAGATTCTAATTTTCTTATAATATATTTAATTTTCATGTATAATATGTATTCAATGACTTTCCATACGTGCTTGTGCAGAGCACTTCACCTTTGACAATTCTTGGAAAGTACGAAAGGTTTTCTTTACCTCAGCAGGCTCATTTATTTACTCAAGGTTATTTCCCTTTCTGTACAACAATAATAGAAACAAACATACTTTCCTATAGACCATTGATGGTACTTTCTCACGTCTAGTTATTGTTGCAAGGGGGATTTCCCAACAACAACAAATGCGTATTTTGCATTTAAATCGCAATTATATTTATTTGAATATCGAAACTGAAAGTCTTTTACTAAATACTTTGGTACGGTTCCCATTCAACTCACTAATCCTTCTTTGTGTCTGTCTTCAAACCACATCTTTGTGTATTTTGCCCAATTCTTTCTAGGTAAATAGGAAAGCTTACAATATTTTTATGAAATTTTAACTTGCTTTCAATGCCTCTGCCAACCTGAGGATGCTATTTAAGCAAGAGAAAAGCAAAAAAAAATGTCATTCTCTTGGAAACTCATCGGTGAAATATTTCAGATATGTCGTTGCTAGATGTTCTTGAGATGCGCGCATATTTCGATTTGCTGGAGCAAACGCGAGATCAGTCAAACGCCATTCCGTGGGGCAGCGGAAACTACATAATAAGACATGACCTCGCTTACACAGAAGATTTTGTGCTGGTTAAAAATATTTACGTGACGGGCATACCCAATCATGTGAGTAAAAATAAATAAGCACCAGTTGGAGTCTGAATATATATATATAAAAATATGTTTTAACATAATACTAAAAACAAATTTATTTATATTCTTCAATATTTTCTAGGTAATCCCAGACTTTTTAGAGGAGTATTTTAAAAAATTTGGAAAAATAAAAAGCATTAAAATATTAAATGGAAAGCAATGGGTCTGTACCAAAGGTGCATACATTCACTATGTCGACGCTGAAGCCGCCTGCAGGTAATAAAAAACTTTTTTTTTAACATATTTAAACAAATAAATAACAAAAAATTAATAAACAAAAAAAAAAAAAAACAATATTAAAATGTGAAACTAAAAAATTAAAAATAAAACAACAATAAATTATTAAATAAAAAGAAATAAAATTACCTAGAGTAAAAAATAAGCAAAAAATAAATAAAAAGTTTATTTTGCTTTAAAATTTATTTAAAAAAAAGCGAAAAGTAACATAAAAACCCAACTAAAATAACAAAAAGTTTTATGAGAAATAAAATAAAATAAAAATTTAAAAAAAAAAAAACGAAATGAAGAATAAATTAAAATCAAACAAAAAAAGAATATAATAAAAATAAAGTAAAAGTAAAGAAAAATAAAAATGAAATACCAAACAAATTATTTAGTTTTAAGTTGGTTTTTAATCATAATATTAAATAAAATCAATCCCTGCAAACCAAAACAAAATAAGTAAATTAAAAAAAATAATATAAGGTAAAAAAAAATAAAATACAAAAAAAAAATAAAAACTATAATAATATAATTAAGATAATATTTAAATAAAAAATGAAATAAAATACAAAAGTAAATCAAGTAAAAAAAAAAATTAAAATAGAAATCAATATATAAAATTATGAATATAAAGAGAACAAAAGAGAAGTGAAATAAAATACAAAAACAAATAAAATTATGTTAAAAATATTAAAGATTAATAAACTTTTTTTTTGAAAATGAAATAAATTAAATTATATATTAAAAATTAATATAGTTTTTTTTGAAAATGAAAGAAATTAAATTAAAAGAATAGAAAAATAAAATAGAAATTAATACATAAAATTATGAATATAAAGCGAACAAAAGTGAAGTGAAATAAAATATAAAAACAAATAAAATTATGTTAAAAATATTAAAAATTTAAAAAACTTAAGTTTTTGAAAATGAAAAAAATTAAATTAAAAGAATAAAAAAATAATATACAATGAATCAAAATAAAATAATAAAATTAACAGAAAACAGTAAAATAAAATAAAATAAAATATGACAAAATAAAATAAAAAAAATTAATCTAAAATTAAACAAAATAAAATGTTATAAAAAAATAAAGTAATATAAATTGAAATGTAAGATAAAATAAAACAAAAGTCAATTAAAAAACCAATTAAAATTCAGTTAAATAAAATAAAAGCTAAAAACCCTATTTTCAAAATAAAATAAAATAATTTAATTACAAGTAGGAACAGAAAAATAACATAAAATAGAATAATATAGTAAACAATAATATATTATAAAAAAATAAATGAAATTAAATAACATGAAGAATATAATTAACATAAGATAAAATAAAATGAATAAAAAGTGAAATAAAATATTAATGAAATAAAAGAAAATATATTAAATTAAACTCAATTAGAAACAAAATAAAATAATAGCAAATAAAATATAATGAAATTGGACAAAGTAATCAAAAAAAAATTTAATTCAATTCCAAAAATAGAAAACAAAATTAAATAATCAAATTAAAAAGGTTAAAAAGAAATAAAATGAAAGCAACAAAAGAAAAAAAAATTAATTAACATAAAATAAAAGTAAATAAATAATGCTGAAATGAACTAAAGGAAAAGAAATAAAGTAAAGAAAATTAAATTAATGAATTAATTCAATTAAATAAAGAAATTAAGTTAAAAAAGAGATGAATTTAATTAATCAAGTTAATACAAATTAATAAAATCAAATGAAATAAATAAAAGCGAAATAAAGTAAATTAAATTAATGAGATTTTAAAAATAAAATAGAACAAAAAAAAAAAAATAAATTAAATAAAAGGCAATTAATTTATATACACAATTCACGCTTTGTAATCGCTGAAGCAATTTTCAGCCTAACTCCTCCGCCAATTAATAAATGCAAAATTAATTTAAACGTATAAGATTTAAAAAAAATGGCAGAAGATATAGAATTAAAAAAAGTGAAATAAATAAATCTAAAGAATAAAATTAAAAATAAAGTAAATTAAATTATAGAAATAGATTAAATAAAATTTAATAAATTAATAACTAATTAAACTAAAGAATAAAATTAAAAATAAAATAAATAAAGTTAATTAATTTATAGAATTAGATTAAATCAAATTAAATAAATTAATGAAATTAAAAAAATGAATAAATAAAAAAAATAAATTAATTAATTTAAAAAATAAAATAAATAAAGTAAATTAAATTATAGAATTAGATTGAATAAAATTAAAAAAATTAATAAATAAATTAATCTAAAGAACAAAATTAAAAATAAAGTAAATAAAGTTAATTAATTTATAGAATTATATTAAATCAAATTAAATAAATTAATGAAATTAAAGAAATGAATAGATAAAAAAAATAAATTAATTAATTTAAAAAATAAAATAAATAAAGTAAATTAAATTATAGAATTAGATTGAATAAAACTAAATAAATTAATAAATAAATTAATCTAAAAAATAAAATTAAAAAAATAAATAAATAAAGTATATTAAAATATATAAATAGATTAAACAAAATGAAATAAATTAATAAAATTAAAAAAGTAAATAAATATAAAACATTAAAAAAAAGATGAAATTAATTAAATTAAACCAAAATAATATGAAATAAAAAAAAATAAAATAAATTAAGGAAAAAAATAGTTAAAATATATCAAAATAAAAGTAATTATTACGTAAAAGTTTATTTCCTGTTAAATATACGACTTATCAAATTTTTGTCATTATTATATTAATTCCATATTTTTTTCTCTTTTCCTTCACTATTTACCAGAGTACTCCGCAAAAGTCATCACTTCCTATGTGGTGGTGTCTTAGAGGTGGATTGTTGCTTTAGTTGGAAGCAGCCCAATGCTGACAAAGCGTGTCGACCACCAATAAGTCCCGCTAAACTCCCACATTTAAAAGATGAAATAGACAAATGCCAAATGAAGAGTATGGAAACAACTAACGGTTTAAGTTTGCTATCTTTAGACGACGATTGTTTGGAAATTATTTGCCGCGGATTGAAGCCGAAGGAGCAGGTGCGCTTTGCGCGTGTTTGTCCACGACTGGAAAATGTTTTTGCACAATACTGTCGGCGAGCGTACAAAATACTAGTTCTTGAGAATATCATAGACCTGACGGTGTGGGAGGCACGCGATTTCTTTCGTTTCGCTGGCGAATATATTGAGGAGTTGAAGGGAGGATTTCATCATAAATTTTTGGAAGAAATTCTAAACTATATTGTTAAATATTGTCCCCGATTGGTAAAGATAAACTTGGGGGATACCGCTTTGTCGCAGCGTTGTTACACGAGATTTATGCGCAGATTGCCACAGATCAGGGAGTTGAGCTTCAATTACGGTTATTACAAGGATAATTCGATATTATCGCTACAAAACCTTAAACATTTGGAATCGCTGGCGATATGCCGCAATGAGGGACTAACAGGTAGGAAGGAAATTTATATTGTTTAAAAAAATATATTTAGTATTTATAAATATTTCCTCTCTTATTCTCTCTCGCAGGCAAATTTATATGTAGATTAGGGCAAATAACAGACCTTTGCCTCTACGACTTAAATGGCTTGGAACCGGAGCACTTGGTGGATATCTGCAAATCCCTGAAGAACCTGCGCTCCCTTGACATACGCCGTTGTGAGCGTATTTCTGCACAGTTTTATAGAAATATCGAAAATTATTGCCAAAACCTTGAAGTTCTAAAAATAACTTGTCCCAAACGCTCATATGAACATTTGGCTTTATTGCCGAAACTGAAACAGCTCGACCTGGTGTTTGCCGTGCAACCTCAAAACGATATACCCATAATCGGGCGTTTGGTCACACATAAGGCTGATCAATTGGAAGTACTGAATATCTACACCAAAAACCACTTGTCCAAATCGCACATTAATCTGATATCGCAATTGACACAATTGAAGGAGCTTTCTGTCGCCTACAATCAGGTTGTCGACGACATTGCACTGCAAAAGCTTTGCAACCTTAAAAAATTGGAGGTCTTAACTATCGCCGGTTGCTCCGATGCAACGAAAGACGGGGTTCTGGCACTGCTGGAACATTGTCCGAAACTTCGGGAAATTCGTACACAGCACTGCAAGCAAATCACGTGTGAATTCGTAACGGAAGCGATTGATATTTTGCAAGCCCGAAGGCTCAAGGGCAACCAAGAGACACTAAAACTGTTCGCTCACGATACGTCTTTAACGAAGGATTCGAAAGTATTTGAGGTGAGATAAAATAAAAAAATATTGAATGATATAAATGAACCAAAATTAAAAATAAACCAAGACAATATAAACCAAAATTACAATTTAAATTACAACAAAATAAAAAATTAAATAAAATTAATTAAAATAAAATAAAATAATTACATAAAAAAAATTAAATATAGTAAAGTAACTTTCTTTAAAATAAAGAAAAATTGCATTAATTAAATTAAATTAATAATGTCAAATTATATTAAATTATTATAAATAAAATAAAATAAAATAAAATAAAATAAAATAAAATAAAATAAAATAAAATAAAATAAAATAAAATAAAATAAAATAAAATAAAATAAAATAAAATAAAATAAAATAAAATAAAATAAAATAAAATAAAATAAAAAAAAATAGAATAAAATAAATTAATATTATATAAAATCAAATAAAATAATATAATAGAAAATAAAAAAAAAAAAATTAATTGAATTAAAAAAATAAAATGAAATAAATGAAATTAAAAAAAAAATTTAAATAAGTTAAATAAAATAAAAAAGAAACTATAGCAAAACATAAAATAAATACAAATTAATATATATAATTTTTTTTTTTCATTTTAGACAAAAAAATACGAATTGGCTCTGTCGCAATCGCTCATAAAAATTGATTTAATCAAGGCTCAAATTGGCTTGGAGAACTTTAAGGACATTCATCCACCATGGGTAGATTACTATACTGAAGATGAGTTGTCGGAAGAGGAGGAATAAATGATATCAATAAAATAAATGAATTATTAATTGATATTCGCTACAATAAGCTTTTGCCCGTGACTCCGGTTAAGAAATAAATTATGCAAAATAAAATAAATTACAATTAAATTTAGTAGACTAACAAATAAATATATATAAAGTAAGATTATTCAAAAAATGCTTTACTAAAAATTCTAAATAAGAAATAAATATTTTATTTCATTGATTGATATATACTTCATTTTTTTTTTTGCTAAAATTGGTTCACTATAAATTTTGTATGTTTGTCAGACCTGCGCGCGAACACTGGTATTCCGAGTACAGATACGCACTGCTAAACCCTTTGTTTGTTTGAACTAATTTCACATCCGCATACACAAATTTAGTCCAAAGGACATCACCAAATGACACTAAATTAGTCATGGTTAAATTCAACAATGCACTAGTGGATTTTGAAATTAGGCACACAAAGAATTAAATCCGATTATTTCAATGCCATCTTTTTGTAAATGTTTTAAACATACGACCGATCATAAACAAGTGTCCTTCTGAGAAATCGCGTAAGATATGCTCAAAATAGCGCATTCGCGTGGGAGAGGAAGAGAAAGAGAGGGAGATATATTAAGATGTTTTATGTGAACCTTTTATACCTAAAAAACCTATTATAGCGAATAGCCCAGACAATTGTCTACCCTTTCAAATATTGTGATCGTTAAGTGGTTCCACCCTCCAAACACCTAAAATCCATTAAATAAATCTGTATATATGTAAATATGCATTATCCTTGGGAGTATACTAAAAAATTAGGATAATTTCGCGCTTTATAACTGGCACATGTAAAATTTTTAAAAACATATATAAATGCCAGAATTTTGCGAAATATTCAAATCGTGTTTAAAAATCTAGCCATCAAGATGTCTATGCGGGACTTTGAGGTTTTGAGAAATTACAAAACCGATCTGGTGAAATCGCGTTTATATCAAAACCGTATTTTCATTGATGGCGTGAATTTTTTTATTTACGATAAAATTGCATACACCGAGGACTTCGTGATCGTTAAAAATCTCTATGTCAGCGGATTTCCAAAGAAGGTAAGGATCTGTGGACTTCATTAGAGTTGATTCCTAGACTAGTTTGAATTATAACTAAACTTTTTTCTTTTACACAAATTTAGTGTTCAACAGCGGAAATTTTAAGATATTTTGAGAAATTTGGCAAAGTGGAGCGATTAATTATGTTGCAGGATAAAAAAACAGACCCGAAGTTCCCTACACAAAACGCATTTGTTAATTATCAAGATCCAAAAAGTGCCTGCAGGTGAGTTACATTAAAAAAAAAATTCAACAAAATAATATTTAAAATTAAACTAAAATGAAAAAATAAGTAAATATTAAAATATAAATAGAAAAAAAATAATTAAAAAAAAGTTAAGCACAACATAAGAAATGAAATAAAATTATTTAAAATAATACTGAATAAAAAAATTAGCAAATAAAAAAAATTAAATAAACTAAAATAATATAAAAAAAAAAAACATTAAAATAAACAGTAAAAATGAAATAAAGTAAAAAAGTCAATAAATATTATTGACATAAAATAAAACTGAATAACACGAAATATGCTTGTTTAAAATAATAATAATTAAAAAAATTAAAATATATTAAGAAAAATAAAATAAGAAAATGAACTAAATATTAGAAACAGGTTAGTTAAAAAAAAAATAAACAATAAAAATAAAAAACTAAAATATAATAAAATGAAAAAAATTAAATTAAATAAATGAAATCAAATAAAATAGAAAAAAATGAATTAAATTTAAAAACTGAAATATTGAAATTAATATAAACTAAAAAATTAAAATACTTTCATTAAAAAAATATGTTCAAATAAAAAATAAAATCAATTATAACAAAATAACATTAAGATTTAAACTAAATAAAATAATCTAAGACAAAATAAAATAAAATAAAATAAAATAAAATAAAATAAAATAAAATAAAATAAAATAAAATAAAATAAAATAAAATAAAATAAAATAAAATAAAATAAATTAAAACCAAATAAAATAAAACAAAACAAAACAAAATAAAATAAAAAAAAAAATAAAATAAAATATAATAAAATAATATAAATAAAAAAATAAACTATTAAATAATATGAAATACAGTAAGAAAATATAAAATAATATAAAATAAAATTAAATGAAGTAAAGTAATAAAAATTAAATAAATTGAAAGGTAATGATATAAAATAAAAAAGGAAATAAAAAATAAAATAAAATAAAGTAAAATAAACTAAAATATTAAGAAAAAAAAATAAAAAAACTTATTAAAACTAAATAAAAGGAAAGGAAATGATATGAAATATAAAAATGAAGAAAAAAATGATATGAAATAAATGAAATAAAATAAGTTAAGAAAAATATAAAAAAAAAATTAATTAAATATTGGTTAAATAAACTAAATAAAAAAAATTATTACGTAAAGTAAAAACCCAAATTAAGCGAAACAAGCAAAATATATTAAATTAGTTAAAGAAAAAAAACTTTTATAAAAAAAAAAATTTAATAAAAAATTAAATAAAATAAAATAATTTGCAAAAAAAAAAACATTAAAACTAAATGTCTGCAAATATTAATATAAATTCTTTCCCACCCTTCAGGGCGCTTCGTAGAAGACATCACCGCTTAAACCGCAGAACTGTGCGCGTTCAAGCTGCCGACAGTTGGCATCAGCCGGAACCACACACGGCATTGCCACCAGTAGTGAGTACAGACAGCTGGTTTCGCCTTTATAGAGAAAACTTTACGGGCTATACCGAACACGATAGCGAAAGCGATGAGCTTCTTGAAGAAGACGAAGATTATGCGCCAGTAAAAAGCTACCACCGTATAAAAAAGAAGAAAACTAAAGGCAAAAATAATCAAGTAGCAACAACAACTGCAGCAGCGGTGGTAGAAGACAAGGGTACAAATATACTCGCCTTGAACAACGATTGCCTAGACATGATTTGCTCTTGGCTAGAGCCCAACGAACAGGTGCGTTTTGCGCGTACCTGCACACGATTTGCGGATATTTTCGCAACGCGCTGCAAACATGAATACAAAACGATGGATTTAGAGAAATTTAACTATATGACTGTGTGGGAAATGCGCGATTTCCTATACTACAGTGGCAATTACATTGAGGAAATTGTCAATCCGATACCAAATTTGCAGCATGAAAAGATATTGCAATTGATAAATAAGCATTGTCCCAATCTACAAACTGCTACTTTGACTGAAAGTGCCTTAACGCCAATCCAATTCAAGGATCTTTTACGTAATGCGCCGCGACTAAAGGAATTACAGTTGAGAAATTCGAAACTAAAAAAATGTTGGACGAAGGCATTGGTACATGCCAGCCAACTGGAAAGGTTAACGTTCCCACGTGATACCAAATACAAAGGTAAATTACACTTTTATACATACATACATACATACATACATACATACATACCTACATGCATATATATATATACATACATGCATACATACATACCTACATGCATATATACATACATATATACATACATACATCCATATGTACAATAAACACTCATACAAAACTCCACATAACTCTTCTCTTACAGCTGAATCTTTGAACAGTTTTGTGCATCTGAAAGAGCTTAGTGTCGCCAGCTGTATAGTTAGCGCCGAAGAGTTGCTAAAAAGTTATGGCGTCTTACAGAATCTACACACGCTCGACCTACGCTTTGTTGAGGGCTTAGAATCGGCGTTCTACAATCTGTTGGAAGGGCTCTGTCCACAACTTGAAACACTCAAGATGACCTGCCCCAGCCATCCTTACGAGCGTGTCGCACTACTGCCACGCCTAAACCATCTCGAGTTGGTTGTCGACTTCTTATCAGATGCTGAGATATCGGTGGCAATGTTAGAGTATTTGGTCGAGCACAAGGCCGATCAATTGTCGGTGCTGAAATTATATGCCAAAGAGCCACTAACCGCCAAACACGTGAGCGTGTTGAAGAGATTGAAGTCATTGAAAATACTCAGCGTCTATCACTTTCAATTCTGTCCAGATTACAAAATTCCAATAGATCAATTTGGGGAATTGTGTTACATGAGCTCACTTGATGAGTTGACCATTGGGAATGCCACAGATGGCCGGTGTGGCGCTGAATTGATGCTGGTGCAATGCTATCCGAATGGCAGGAGGGTACAAAAGCCGAGTCGTTATAAAATCAAGGCCGAGGCTCTGGAAATGTGCTATACGCAAATAGACAGAATCACACCGCATCGGAGGTTACTTGAATATGTGGTGTATCGTAATAGAAGTCTGGAGCAATTATTCAATGTAAGTATATAAGCTAACAGTATATTTTCAGATTACATATATACATACATACATCACAGTTGTAAATATATAAAACGTTTTTTCTTCCTTTTTCCAGCTCAAAATCAATCGAGAGGGCATGACTCATACCTACTCTAAACTTAGATATGAGCCCGAGGAGTACTGCGATATGGAAGATTTAGACATAGACGAAGAGGCAGAGGAAAACGAGGAGGTAGATAAAAATGAAGAGGCAGACGAAGTGGAATGCTAAAGGAGCGCTGGTGTTTGTGATAGACAATGTTTTGGTACTCGGTTTCCAATGAAGATTAAATACAATTTAATTGCATGTTCCTATGATACTTCGCTTTAAGACATACATATTTATACACATTTATACATTTCAGACAAAATAAATTCAAAACCCAAAAAAAGACAAAGAAAATCTATAAATTTACTCGTACATAAACGGCTTTGTCCTGATTGCCTGACGGCTCGAACCACTAATCGTAGTGATTTGCGACTCGTGATTGGTATTAATTTCTGACCAAAACGTGGGGCTTAGGCCGTTGAAAGGGGAAAAAAATTGATGAAAACGCCTCAAGTTTTCCAAAAAAAAAAAACTGCCCTGATGTCAAGGGAGCATTAGCTGCCCAGAAAAGTATCTGACTATACATTAAAGAGCATGCCAGACATATCAGAAAGGGAGTACTCGATCACAAGCACACCATTCAGCTTCATATATAAACAAGAATCGCTAGACAGGACGGCGCACCGACAGGCTTTAAACGCCATTCACCGAGAGTTCGTGAACATTTTCTTCAACTCTCTTTCAGTAAATGGATTTTTCGGAATTCAAGCACCGCCTATTGCTGGCGAAGCCCTCGGACTGCCTGAAGATCTTGATATTGTGGTCGGTTGAAGTCTTACCTATCCAACGGATATCCTGATGGCAATGAGACATCTTAAGGCACTAACCACCGCTTTGCATGCCTCTAAATCCCACTCATCTAAACTCGTCATGCTGCCTACCTAATCATTCCAATGGAATGGTTGTTCTTCTCTTTACTGCTTCCACCAGCCAGTGCAGCATCGAATACTTTCAAAGCTGGGGGTGTGTTGTGGCCCTTACGGTTGACATGACTTAGCGAGTGCTGTTTCTGTGGCTGTTGTCGTGGTTCGCTAACTCCGCTTAGAAGCTGGCGAAAGTAGTCCAAGTCATTGCGATCTTTAGACTGGAGGTTCAGAAAACGTGTTTTTTTCGACGTATTCGAACCAAAGTGAAAAGCGGGATAGTGCAATTAAAGCGGCATGCAAAGGGTTGATTCGTAACTTGTGGCGTCTCACTGCATGCAGGTCATAGGTTGAGTATGCCGTGGGCAAAGTCTGGGAAAGAAGGAATTAAGTCGGCTATAATGTGCACATCTTAATTGTGTTAGTATTACACGAGGCACTCGAGGCAGTTCGAGTTCTTCGTCGACAATAGGCTATGCTGGTATTTGATTTTGAAAACGCCGTACACTGGAATGGACTTCAAGAAGGTGTTAAGGAACTCACCGTAAAAGGTACGCCGTTCTTGCAAGTGGTTGTGAAAGTAGTTCTTGTAGTCGGGTACTCCCAGCTTGATGTGCCTAGATGCTGGCTTAACCTCAACTATTGTGCGTGCAAATATTGGCTGCAGATAATACGTCCAACCACAGCCAGTACCCAACAAACAGAATATGAAGCTGTTTCTATAAAGGCAGGTATAACAAAGCATCTGCAGTTTTTAGTCACTTACTCAGTGTGTATTGGCGGAGGAGACCACTCACAGGCATGAAAGAAAGGCTGGTAAGGGGTTTTAAGTGACGTCACCTGATACGATGTGATGTGTTGTTGTCGTGATTTGAACGGGCTGACTCTATATAAAAAAGCTGGCAGGAGGTTAAGGGTGACGTCGGTTGGTAAGCTGTGCTGAGTGCTAGGCAACTCCTCACAGTTCTCTCAAACCCCAGCAGTTGAGCAGAAGTCAGTCTTTCTTTCAGCCCTAGAAACTGACTGACTCACCCAGCGTCACAATGCCGTAAGTTATACATTTGAATTTAATCCACATTCTTCAAGCATTCAATTTTCGACGGAGCCCCAGTCAAGTATGCGCCGTTATTTACATACGCTTATGAGTGCTCTTTCACAGTGAGAATATATTTTTTATATATTTTAATTGCATAAAGGCATGTGAACAGACAAAAGCTCTCGTAGCGGCAACAGAAGCAACAACAAAGCAACAACAAGGCAACAATTTGGAAACTTTTCATGCCAAGACTTGAGTAAAGTTGCTCGAAAACTATATTTCTGTGTTACCATATTTGAATTTTTCTCTCTCAAATTCCACTCCAAGAGTGAAGAGAGCGAGAGGGTTGCGGGAAAACTCGACTACTGCCTGTGCCATAGCAACAACAAGAGTGAAATCATATATTTTTATTAATTAAACTTTGCATTTTTACGCTATGAGTAAAACTCCAATTAAAACATGTGCGTAGTGAAAAAAAATACAATAAAAAATAATAATAAAAGAAATAAGGAAAATAAAATGCAAAATTTAAGAGCGAAACTCGAGAACAACAATAAAAAAATTACTATACGGCATTATCAACACTGTTAAAAGTGCGAATATTTTTAATTTCATACAAAAAGTGCCAAAAATATCAACACTACAGAGAGAGAGAGAGAGAGATGGAGAGAGTGTGGATGTGCGTGTGAGCGCAGCGCCCAAATGACTATGCAACAAGCGACGAAAATTTAATAAAAATATTCCTCGAGTTGTAAACTTTTCGACGCGCAACAGCACTTCATGCGACATGCGAAAACACGTCCGCATCACTGTCTGAGTTTGTCCAACGACGTGTGGCGGAGTTTGTGATGAGCAACTGACGAGAGGGAGTTAAGGATGGTAGAGTGTAGAAGAAGCCTGCACTAGTAAGCACATGTGCCTGCCTGTTGCTAGCTGTCGCCACATGCCGTTAACATACACTGAAGCAATTAGAAGTATAAGTCCGCTTAAAAATGTGGCGCAAAGCTCAGGCTAACAAACAAATAATGTTTAAAGTGTTTTAAATTTTATTGCTCATAAGTATGTATGTAGTGGTAGCGAACTTTATTCAACATATTAGAGTAATGAATTTAACCCACATTAGCGCAACGAAATTTGGCAACAGTGCATGACGTGGCCAACCTAATTGGCTGACAGCGTGGATTACTGCGTGTTTAGCTTTGTTTATAGCTCAAAACTCTCTTTTGTAAATTAAAAGCACATAGAGTTGTGCTTAAGCGCAATTTCGTGAGGAAAATAGGCAACAGTGTAAGGGAAATCATCTTATACCTAATATATGAATAACATAATGACTTGGATTTTTAGAAAATCAGTACCGTTTCCACCTGAAAAATATGCTAAGTAAAATATCATAAATTATGTCTGTATTAGTAAGGAAAATTGGCAACAATGTTAATAACAATTTTAAATGAAATTATTTTAATTCACGTATACATTGTTTTGGCTTTGCACACTACTAAACTGGTTAATGAAATACATTGCAAGTATTTCATCAAAAATTTGCAACAATTTTTCCACAACTAATTACCTCACCATGAAGAAAACTGGCAACATTGTTCCCGGAAACCTTATAAATCTAATACAATGGCTTAAATTCTCTACAAGTCAGTAGCAATTTTAACTTTCGTTTTTACTGAAAACTGATAGAGAAATTAAATGAGTTATTTTGGCAGAGAAAATTTGCAACTAGACCGGCAGAATAAAAAAAGAACTGAACTACTTGAATGCTTATGCAATTTATTTATTTTACAAGTGCTTAAAAAATGTCCGACTACATTGATGCCAATTTTCCTCCTACTCCCCCTAATGTGTGGGAATTTTTTATGTCTAAAAACATCGTATAAATAGTTAACTAACTTAGACTAAATCATCACCGAAAACTGGTAGCTAAAAGCAAAAAAGGCGATGAAAATTGGCAACAGTGCCTTCGAATATTTCAAATATCTTGGTATTGAATTAATTGCAGACTACTTAGCCATCCACCAGTATGTACTAGTTTCTCATATAAGTCGCAAATGAAATAACTAAAGTCAACTATTTATGTGGGAGGAAAATTGGCAATAGTGCTTTTGAAACTTTTAAATGTTCCTGGCGAAACAAATGCGTCGTAATCTTTTATTTGTCATGTTTATGTTAGAATTCACATTTAAATCATTAATCAGTAAAATACATGAAGTACGTAAAATCACTTTTTTGCACAGAAAATTGGCAACGGTGCCAGGAAACATAACCTAAAATTTCAAATTTTTGGTGAGGCAGGTAAAAACAAAATGCTGTGAAAAATCAACGAAAAATGTGTGTTACAAGCAGTCTTTACGTGACTATTTTTGATAAGTGACTATTCATCCCTTTGTCAATTTAGGCAGGAAATGCTGCCACCTTTTCAAAAATTAAAAATCAATTAATTAATTTAACTTTTTACAAAATTTTTTCTATATTTCAATAGGTACATATTCTAGGATATTTACGTTTACATTTCGACAAGGTTGCCACATGCGTAAAACTTGTCTTTATATAAGAATTAACTTTCTTTGTAAATATTTGATTATAGCCAACAAGTGGTACGCACATATACGTGTATAGATATGTTTTAAATATATTTTAAGCAAATCATTTAAACAATTTTTTTTCATATGAAAATTGAAGAAGGATTGAAGGGTTGCCACTTAATTAACATTGGCATAATAAAAAAATCTAAATAAAGCAAGCGCACTTTATTAGAATTAATCGTTGAAATTTTTTTTAAAATTTGATATGTTTATTAGAAATATTGCCACCTGTTTAAAAAGCATTAATTCTAAAAATTGTTTTTTTTTTTATTGAAAGCACAGCAATATATTTTATCAAAGCTATGGTGCATAGTATTGTTTTTTTCGGACAAGGTTGCCACTTATCGAAAAATGGGAACAAATTACAAATTATTTATAATATTTAAAAAAAATTTTTATCTTTTTTTGTAGCGCTGCCACTTATTTGATAATTGAACAATGCAAAAAAGTTATTGTTAGTTACACTTTTTTTAATATTTATAAATTTTAAATTGATATTTTTATATGGAAATAAAGTTTAATTTTTTTTGTTAAAAGTTCTAATGAAGAATTTTTTTTTAAATATTTTTCTTTGTGCATCAATAAGTATTTTCAGAGCTACTACTACGAAGTTGCCACCTAGGAAATTTTTGTATTTTAAATATTTGTATATGATAATTCAGGCAGATATTTTTCTGTTTTCAAATAAGACAAACATATTTTGGTTGTAGTTGCCAACTTATTATAAATTAAAATTTATTTAAATTATAATC